AGTTCTCTTTGGGCGCCTATGAAGTTCGTCCCGTTGTCACTTCTTATGCGTACTGGCGTTCCCCGGCGGTTGACAAAGCTCCGCAAACACAAGAGAAAGGCATCTGTCGATAAATCGTGCGCCAGCTCCAAATGCGCGGCTCTGGTGGTAAGGCAAGTGAATATCACTGCCCACCTTTTCTCTCTTCGGCGACCTATCGCAACATTAAAGGGGCGAAATAAATCGACGCCCGTGTATGTAAAGGGCCTGACGTATGGTGTGACGCGGTCTTCGGGTAACTGGCCCATGAGAGGCGGTGCTGGCTTAGCTTTGTCGATTCGGCATCTGTTGCAACTGCGTTGAACTGCGTTGAGCAACGACTTAGCGTGAGGGAACCAATATTTTCGGCGGGCTTCGTTAACGATGACGGCAGAATTCTGGTGGTGCATGTTTTCATGGTACTGGCGCATTATGAGTGTTGAGACGATGTGTTTGTTCGGCATCAAAATCGGCTTCCTGGATTCTATCGGCAAAACTGCGGCTGCGTCGATGCGACCTTGTATCCTCATAATGCCCTCCTTATCTAAGAACGGCGTTAGCGCATAGATGGTGCTTTGTTTGTGGAGACATGCTGAGCTTTTGAGCGCTGCAACTTCTTTGGCGTAAATCTCGTTCTGGACTGTTTTTATTATAAATTGTTCGGCTTTATTGAGTTCGCTGGCGGTCAGCGCTCCGCTCGACTGCGTATCGTCGTCGTTCTGGTGCGCACGGACGTGCTTCAAAAATTTGCAGGTGGCTCGTTGAACCCAGGCCATCACCCGTTTCAACTTTAAATAAGACGAAAAACGGTTAAACTTAAGTAAACAATCATTTACCTCGATATGCATGGCGAAGCACGGCTGGACCTCTTCTGGTAGCTGGTCTGGTAAAGGCTTATTGGATAAGATGGGCCAACACTCCATAGGCTGCTGTAGGAACTCTGGACCTCGCAACCATGAACTGCACATCTCGACCTTCGGGGGCCATCTTGGCCGAGTAGCAATATCAGTAGTATTTTTCTCAGTAGGTATCCAGCGCCACTGAGGAGGCGTAGACGACGATAGTATTTCGGCGATGCGATGGCCGACGAAGGGCTTAAACTTTCTCTCCTCGGAGTTGACCCAATGTAGCACTGTTTGTGAATCGGACCAGTAAATTGTCGCGTCAAGCTGAATGCTATGACCATGGCAGATTAGTTTGGCCAATCGCACGCCTAATACTGCTGCCTGCAGTTCCAATCTTGGCACGGACAAGAGCTTTTGAGGTGCACCTCGGGTTTTACCGGCTACAAATGTGACCTCACAATTTTCTGCACTGGTGACTCGAAAATAACCAGCGGCGGCGAATGCAACTTGGCTGGCGTCTACTACTATGTGTAGCTGAATAGATACGGCTGCTTGCAATTGAGGCGAATACCAACGTCTGATCTGGATTTCGTTAACGCGTTTAAACTCGCCCCACCAGGCAAACCATTTGTTTTGAAGTTTATCTGGAATCACTTCGTCCCACTCAATGCGGCTTTTCCATACTTCTTGTATCAGTACTTTGGCAAATAGTAGAAAATCTGCGAGAATACCAAACGGATCAAAGACTGCCATGATTATGCTCAGCAGTTCACGCTTCGTTGGTGCTCGTATTCCCTCTAATACTGGTTTCGGGATACGATGAAACTTGAATTGGAACTCGAACGAGTCCGTTGCCATATTCCAATACATTCCCAATATCTTTTCGTGGTTGGTTACGCTTTCTAAGCTTACTGGCTGTGATACTGTTCCTGGTTCTTTGTTCAGGCTGACCTCGATATCTCTGATGTTCGACACAAAAGACCTCAGTTGAAAACCTCCTTCGGCGTGGATGAATACGACCTCTCGACAAATTCTTTCGGCTTCTTGTTGATCTCTAAAACTGGCTACGAAGTCATCAACATAATGACTATTTATTATTGCTGCAACGGCGTCGGGATATAGCTGGCGGAATTCTTCTGCGTTCTTATTCTTAACATATTCTGCTATGCAAGGTGAACATATGGCACCAAACACCATCGACTGCATGACGTACTGTTGTACCGGTTGAAGATGGTTTCCACCGCGCCACAAGAACCTTTGCGCTTGTTGATCTTGCTGCTTTATCAGCACCTGTGAAAACATTTCACGGATGTCTGCTGCTACTGCGACTGCTCCCTCGCGGAATCTGAACAATATGTCTAATAATGGCTTAGCATGTTCAGGACCTTTTATCAAGGCGGAGTTTAAAGCTATACCATTTACTTTGGCGGCGGCATCAAACACGATTCTCATTTTTCCGGGCTTGTGCGGATTTTGCACTGCGAAATGAGGTAAATACCACTTAAAACCTGTGTCGATACACTCTTCATCGTCGGGAATCCTTCTAGCGTAACCGTTTTCTATGTACTTTGCGATTTCTTTTTTGTATTTAGCGGCAAATTCTGAGTCAAATCGCATTTTCTTCTCTATACCTAGCAGTCGTTTATAGGCCATCTGATAGCTGTGTGGAAGTTTTGGTGGAATAGTACGCCATAGTAATCCAGCTTCGAACCGCTTACCAACTCGACGTGTGTTGGCCTGCAGCATCTGGCGCGCCCTTTCATTCTCTTCAGACTCTAGAAGCTTTGATGATCCATTAACTCCAAAGTTATCTGCTGCAAAATATTCGGTAACTAGTTCGTGCAAAGACGTAAGGCTGCTTTTCTCGCGGATATGTAGAACTACCGGTGCTTGCACTGCTGCTCTGGTCGGCCCGTATGCTATCCAGCCCAATTTAGTATTAATGGCCACTGGACTTTCGCTATCGGCCTTCACGGTCGCGGATGGCACACTCAATGACGTGTTGTCGAGACCTAACAACAACGATGGCTTAACTTGGTGATAATCTTCCAATGGCAATGGCTCGAAGTGGGCGTAATGAAACTTCTTGAAGGACTGTACTGGCAAGTCTAGGCTACGGATAGTGCACACGTTGCGAAGGCTGTAGGTTGCTGGTCTATCTCTGCATCTTACACCTAGATTAACCTTCGCTGATTCTTCTGTAGTACACTTCTGCCCGTACCATTGCAACGTTAGTGGTTGCCTGCGACCTCTTAGACCCAAGCGGCTTGCTACACTCTCCTCTATTAATGAAATAGCTGAACCTTCGTCGATCATGGCGAAAACGTCTTCCCTACCATTTGGTCCGAATAATGACACAGGAACGTATTTAAACAGGTGGCCGCGCGTGGATATGGCTTCCCTACAGTTGAGAATGGGCTGCGCCCCACCTTGGTTGCGGGCTGCATCTGCATGAGCGGCGGCTGTTGTGCTGTCGTGAAGGCTCCGGTGGTGGTATCGACGGCAACCATCGGTGTCACAAAACTTTTTAACGCGACAGTTTGATGTGTTGTGTCCTTTGCGCAAACAAGAAAAGCAGAGCTGAAGGCTTTTCACTTTCTCCCAACGCTCAGGGACGCTCATTATTTCACAAAAAGTCTGACAGTTCGAAATGGAGTGGGCACCCATGCACGCGTAACATCGCATACCTCCCGAGTGCTCCTGCTGCGACTCTCTACCGAGATGCATCAAACGTCGAGGCTGTTGCTGTGTCGTTGGAAGTTGGCTTCTACTTGGTTGTTGTATCATTGGCGGTTGGCTTCTACTTATTGCAGTTGTTGGCGGCATCAGACACACGACTCTGGCAAGGTCGCTTAACCAGCTCGAAAACTCTTTAATTGTGATACGGCTTTAAATTTACGGCATATCTGGTCCACTCGAATTGCTTGCTTGGCGGTAGCTTAGTTACTAACTGCTCCAACAGTGTCGTGTTAGCGAGGTGATGCTCACACTTAGCTGACGTTAGAAACGCAACAACGTTTCTTGTTCTTGTTGAAAACGCTAAAATTTGCTCCACTTTGTTTTCAGCGATAGTTTGAAATTGCTGAATTTTAAGAAGCTGGCTTCGCACTAAAAGGTCTGGCCGACCAAACTGGAACTCCAGCTCAGCTATAGCATTCGGCACGTCATCGGGATAGATCAACATGGAAGCAACTGTTTCTCTAGCACGACCAACTAAACATTTGTGTAACCGCATTAGGTTATGTCGGTTACTATAGCGAAACGTTTCGGTCGTATCTTTGTAGTTTGCTAAGAAGAGCGGCCAGTCTTCGGTGTTACCGGAAAATATAGGCAGATCATACAACTTTGTAACCGAATCACTAACCTCTAGCACTGCATTTTGCGTGGAGCGCTCCGGTCGCATCACTGGTGTGGTTTCACTATCCTGCTGCATTGCTTCAATCACGTTA